AATGAACTATGAAATATGTACGATGAGAAAAAGGGGTGTTTATTAGGATGAGCAGCATCTTATCAAAAAAGAAATATACATATGGTCACATTTCTTTCGTTTCTTAGTGTAAATCTACTTTCACTCGATTGCAATATAATCATTTTAAATAACATTGCTACATCAAACTACTCGTACTTGTAATGTTTGTATACGGAAACCATTTGGTATTTAATTTTACACCTGTTTTCTGGTAATAAAGTTCAAGGCATTGCACCATTTTATATATTTATGCTTGCTTATACGCAAGGAATGAAAAATACCAGATGTTTTTAATAAACAATTTTCCAATTAAGTTTATAACTATGTTTGCCAATTGAAACAAGATAAATCTTTCCTATATAGAATATTTAATGTTCAATGCTTAGTTTCAAGCCTAGTATAGGCTTACCTGTAAGATATTATAAGTTTCGCATAGATTCATCTTGTTCATTGTTAAATGATACAGATTTTAACAAAAAGAACATTGAATAATGATAATAAAAAACAGCATTTGTGTTCATTTTTATAATCCCATAAAATGTATATTGTAAAAAAAACCATGATAATACGACGCTTTGAAGAATAATTATATGTTGTACTGAGGTCTGTCCTAATGATGCATATATTGTAAGCTTCTATAAGAAGAGAGAAAAAAAGATTTTTATGGCATGATTATTGTTCTATTATTGACTAAAAGTTAGTCACAAAAATAAATGTAATATTCACAGGAAGTAGAACGAAGTCATTTTTATGAATTTAAAATGATTTTTATCTTAGCTGAATTGACGTTATAATTAAGAAGCATAGTTGATATATTTTGTGTCGGTACATGTTCAGTAAAGCCGATAAGTATTCTCAGATTTTCTTAAAAAAAAAAGAAACATATAAGTCTTAACTTTAAAGTTTTATTCATAATTGTTGAGAAATACAAACTGAGGAAGTTTGTTCTATTTTGTTATAATAACGTATTTGTTTGTGAAAGGTATAAAATAAGGAGAAATAAAGAATCCTAAAAGAACGTATAAAACGACAAAATTGAAAATGTTGCAGGCTAGGTTTGATTGAGCCAGTTCATGGACGTTAATGGAATATGCGAGTTACCGTCAACGCCACATAGCACCAGCTTAAGCAGTATTCAACATTTAATATGAACGGGAAAATTTGGAATTATAAATCATTTTTATGTATATTTTAAAGCCCTTTTTAATTAAGTCATGTTAAATGTTTGAGCCAAGAATAAATAATCAGGGAAAACAATAAGATAGATTCAAAACACAAACATATTGTGTCAGTGTTTGCTACATGTTTTCCGAAATTGAAATAGAATTTTCGAATTGTAAATTACAAATTTGAATTTGTACAACACCAGCTAACCCGATTCGATGATATTACTTTTGTTAATCGTAGACCCATTTAAAAAATACGAACAAGCTATCAGATAAACATTTTTGCTCTGATAGTCATGGCGGTTTCTGAATTCCATCAGAAAAATTATGTTTTCTTGATTTTTCTTATTTGAGTAAAATTATTGCTGAATGGTGTCACTTCCTATTTTTTATCCTATAAAGAATCATTTCGGTTTGTTGAGGCATGATTAATTTCAGTTAGTGTCTCTTATAACCTTAGAAGACATCTAAAAAAATTTCAAGAATATTGGCCCTTAGAAGAAGAATCGGCTAGAAAATGAGTCAAATCGGCCCTTTGTATTTCTATTAATAAGCCAAATAGGTCATTGGAATGTCTAGTGTGCTCCAATTGAAGTCACATCGGCTTTAGAAAAAAATGTTTTAAAATTATGATTTGTTGTATCATTCTATTTGTTGACTTTAATATACTTAATCAGCCATTTAAACGGAATGGAAGGAAAAATATTTATATCATGTAAACAACGTCAATGGAAGACACATTAATTACCAAGGAAAACCTTAGAAAAAATGGATGTTTTGGACGGTAGTTTGCACTTGACAATCTTTTCCTTCATTTAAAGAATGCAAGCCTCATCATTAATAGACTTAGCGGTATGTTATCATTTCTTACTTGTATATGGCATTTCATATTTTCGAGTAAAAAAAGTTCACTCTTGTAAATAAAATAAATCCATGAAAGTGGACGGAAACATTAATTTGAAAAATATGTTCATTAAGTTGAATCAGAGAATATCTATAGTTCACATTTCAAAGAAGAAAGAATAAAAATAAGATTTATGTAATCAGAACTCTTTGATCCTTGTATAAATCAAGTATTTCCACGACGTAATGTATATGTATATCACATCCATCTATGTTATAAAGTTCACTTATTAGATATTCTTATCTCACATAAAGCTGTTGTACAGCTTCACAAAACTATCCCAATCATAACAACATATTTAGCTTTTTAATTACAAACCTCAGTTTATTTAAATATTGTCGTTTTGAGCTGGAACGTTTCAAGAACTTTAATTTTTCCTAACTATACTATATGAATTATATGAATTTTAACCACTCACCTTTTGTAATTACTTTCAGGTCTATATAATTATCTTTAAAATCATGTTGACACAAAACGTGATAGAAATATACACTGTAACTTTCGTGTCATGGTTGACTCCCCTTTTCCTCCTTATAGCCCTTTTCCTTTTAATCCCCATATGAGTGCGTTTAAATTTTTTTTTATTTCACCAATAACGTGTCCCTCTCCTCCTTTCGCCGCCCTTATGCACACTTCAGGTTTTGGTTGGGTACCTTCTAGGTGCCCTGCTGTGGAAGCCCGGGTGTGTCGGGGCAGCGTCCTGTGAACGACGGTGCCTTTGCCTTGTTGATCATTATTCTCGTTTTTTCTGTACGAAATTTGCTGTGGTCATAGTATTATTTTTACAATAGGTTTATCTCTTACATTTGGTTTGTAAATCATGGTCATGCAACTACATAGTTAGGTAAAGAAGCAGACGCTTGTTTTAGTTGAGTCTATTATGTTTTTAGGGGATGAGTTGTCATACACAAATTACAATTTATATGCATTTATAATTTTGCAATGATTTTTATTATTTTAAATGCTTCTGGGATTGTTTTCTTAAATTATTTGTAAATAAAATTGCTATATTACCGATTAAAGGCGTAATTTTAATGACCATATGAAATTAGTTCAATTGATCACGTGATTGTTTCAGCCAATGGAAAAACATCTACATAGCCGGGCAGTTAATTCTCATGATATAGCCAATAAACTTTGAATTGGAATTTTGATTTCATATTATATTTTTGGTAGAAGAACGGCCAGGCATTTTCGTATCGTCACGTGATTATCCAAAGCACCACCGCGACTTAGCGCGGAAATTATAAATATAGGTAACCTGGGCGCGTCGCATAAAACAGGAAATACATTTTTATATCTTTTTGTAATAAATATTTACAAAGCGTATCTTTTGGATTTTATTGGGTCAATCAATAACAAAAAAAGATGATTTATTTTTGTAAATAAAAAATATTTTTTTTAATCTGTGACTATGATTACCTTTAATGTTTAAGAAAGGTTTTTAATGCTCTTCAAGATAATAATATTATTAATAATAATAATAAACGAAACAAAAAAAAAACAAACAAACAAAAAACGATAGTGTCCGTGTAAGCTATGTTTTTATTGTTGATATTTCTATTTCTGTGGGTTTGCACGATTTTCATATGTTCTGTTCAGTGGAAGATGTATATCTTTTTTGTGTTTATGTTTTAGGCAGTAAATTGGTCGTGCATTGTTTTTTTTCATATTTGATTTCCTTGAAATCATTTGTCTCATCTGAAGGCATGCAACTTTAATATAATGATACATTTATCAAATTCCATGAACATGTTTAAAACTATAAACTCTGATGACATGTTTGTTCATTTTACATTACACATTTCATGCAGCAAGCATAAAAAGTCTTCACAGAAGTAAGTATGCAATCGTACCTATATTACATACGAAAATATGATATATTTTTCTTGTTACGTAACAAAGCAAGAAAAATGGAATATCCTCGAATTCTATTCGAAACAACATGTAATATGATACTTATTTTTTCTCTTTAAAGAGAAGTTTTTTTTTCAAGCGAATATTAACAATACGCTATAATTAAATATTATAGTATATGAAGGTTTGAAAAAATGGTTCAGTTGTACTAAATTTTGTCTGGTCTGTGTTGATAAGATACGTGTTTCAAGAACACAAAACGAAAACGTGCATAATCATAAAATGGTAACTGTCTAATTATCAGCTGATATGACGTTCTCAACATGAGGGAAATTGAAAATGTCACAGGAAGTGAAACTAACTCGTTAATATTCATAAATGTATTCTAATTGTTCTTTTAACATAAGCTTAAGATAAATCAGTTAAGTTATTTTAGCAGCACAATTCATATGTGATGTTATATAATGACAAAAACTTCTGAGAAATCATTTTTTACAAGGAAATGATTACTTAAATAAGTAATAAATGACTAAGTAAGAAATATCAAGCATTTAGAAGAAATCACGACATCACCATTACCGTTCTATATTTGTTTAAATAACACGCATTTGATTAAAAAACTTAGTCAGAAAATGCTATTTTGTGCTTTTTGAATTCCATGCTAGATGATAAACACAAGGGACGCCAATTAAATTTTGGTGAAATAATTAACATAAAAGTAATTAGTTAAAAACGTTTTCGTTAGTAAATTGCATCATCTTTATCAGCGTCTTGGCACTGAAAAAAGCGATCAATATGTATATTTTTATTGGGTTTTACTTCGCTATGACGACTTTCTGACTTTACTGGTGGCAGAAGACCTCAGGAGCTCCGAGCGGGCATCTGAGAAGAGAACCACCGACGTTCTGTAAGCTAGCTGAAAAGTTCCTCTCATGAAAGTTCCACAGTGATGAGGCGCAAGTCAGCTAAATATTTTATAAACAGTTTTGGAACACAGAATATAACTAGGGTGAAAAACAATGTAAATCTTTGGTAAATATTGCAGATTTTACTATTTTATCAACACGTTCATGTATGTTATCAATGTCATTATACATAATATTATAGTTTAATTTACACCTATACACTCACTTAAATATATAAAGAAGAATTATGATTGTGCATTATGGGGAAATGAGGTGTACATAGAAACACACTAACAAATTAAAATGCCATGATTAGGTAAAAATGATCATTAATCCTTAGCCTGGTTAACCCATGCGATCCCTGCAGACCAAGATCAGTTTATCTGTGTCACTGTTCGCTATTCTGAAATTCTGCCTAAAATGTTAAATGTTTTAGTCAAGCATGTTTATTTGAAATATCCAGTGCTGTAACGGCTTTATAACCTTTAATGCAAGTATTCTAGTTTTTCTATGGTGTTATTTAACACATATTAACTGTTGAATATGTCATTGCGTTTACTTAATTCAATATACCTTGTCAAATAAGCACTCGTTACCTTCATGTATTGATATGTGTTTGTTATAACGATCATTTTCATAATATAATTTGTTTAATTCCCATATTCATCCTATGAATTAAAAACTTAACCCTGCATATCATTAAGAGCATCTATATGGTTATTATTTGAATGATTTAGAATCCCATTTTTCTCGTCATCATCATCTGATGATTCGTCAACGCCTTGCATTTTGTAGTACCGTTTCACCACGGCTTTCCAATCAATTGCGTCTTCTAACCTCTGAGGTCCATGATGACTCCGTACCATTCCGGCTACACCTGAAATGATATGGTGTCTTGTAATGATTTTAAAAAGGGAGCGATTTTAGACTATGACGTCTATTTAAGATATCCGTCTTTTTAAGTTATCCGTAAAAAGGTGCATAATCAGAAATGTAGAAAATCCTTTTCGTGTATTTCATTAAGTTTTCTTTGCAAATATTATATTAGGCATGTCTTTAGTTTAACGAAAAAAAATATTGCAGATTGTGGCCCATTGAAGATAAAATTCTTTGCGAAAAAAACACCTTTATTTTTGCGCTAAACAATTTTGCACAAAAGTAACAGTTTCGCAAGAAAACCTAATAATTAAAAGTATATTTAACATCAAGATAATTTCCGAAGAAATTCCACCATAACGATATATGATGTAACATTGATTTTCTGTTATTTGAGAATATTTATGACATCGTTGTGCCACTTTTTCTTTTCCTATAAGATAAATATTCGGCGCTCTCATGCGTGACTTACATCATAATGGGAATTTTATACAAAAATGACACCACATCTACAAATTTTGGATAGTATCGTCATCATTAATATCACGTGTCAGAGACCATTTTATCTAAAATTTCTCTACATACTTTATAATGATTACAAATGTTGTAATTTCTTGGTATTTCTTTTGTAGTTATATTCAAGCACAAAATACAAGAAGTACTGTTTGTTGACTTATAAATGAAAAGCATAAAATGTGCTTGTATTGATTTTTTCTATTTAAAGGAACATTAATCCTTAGAAATCAAATAAATACATGTATATTTTATCTTTCTGAAGAAAGGGCAAACATGAATTTTCTATGACGTTTTGATTATGGATTTAGAACATTATAGATGCTTAGTCAACAGTGCCAAATGTGAAATAATTTCTAATAAATGTAGCTAAATGTAATAAAAGTGGTATTTAGACTCCCATACAAAATATTGAATCACAATAACTGTTCTAATTATTAGAACGCAAGTGAAGAAAAAATGGCTCAGCGGCGTATAACAGAACATCAAAAAAGAAAAAAGGTTTGCCACATTCATTCTTCTGTTACTAGGTGAAATTTCGTCATGTTATGATATATGATAATCAATTAGATTATACGTGATTGTTCACGTTAGTAAAATTACAATAACATTGTCAGCTCTTGTGAACGTGTTTCACATTCATATATCAATAATAATAACTAAATTAATCGAATCATTTGTAAGAGATAGGAGATAATACTAATTCAGTCTCAATGAGACTAAAGTATAAATAACGACATTAAAACAACACGATGATATATCTGATATCATACCATCTGGAGTGATTTTTGCACTGCGACGTCTTCGGATTGTTTGGAGCCAGACGGCAGAAGAATTCGCTAGAATGTCCATCGATCTTGTATCAGACAGAGCATCAATATCATCCTCCTCGTTGATGTAGGCTTGTGCTTGAGCACTACATAATTTACCTGTAAATATCATTATATGTTATATCAATGAATATTATATTATTTAACTCTGTGATCCTAATTATTATTTCTATATATATTTATTCATTCATATTTATATATTTATATTCTATCTAAAATAATTATTCTTTATTGCTTGTTTTGAGAGATTTTTTTTTGCAAATATAATCGTATAAAGCACAATATTTTGTTATCAAGTGATTTTATTATGAAAACTAACAAAGTGTGGTAAGAGAATGTTTATTTTAAGAAATTACGGAATAGTTTGTTATGATTGATTGACTGTAAATCTGAATATGCAACATAATTTGTATCTGTATTATTCTATTCGAAAAATGAAAAAAATCTGCATTTAGATACAAATGATATAGTACACTTTTAAACAAATAGTTTGTTTCTGTATTATTTATAAATATGTCTTTTATTTACCTTTATGTCTGTACGCTAGTCTGATATACTGAAATAGTTTTGTAAAAAGGTTTAAGGGCGAAGGTGTTGCCGATGTTTTGTTCATATTGCGGATAAGTTTCGCTCTCCCGAATTTCCACTCAGTGTCTGACTGTTGCTGAATCCTTTGGTAAGTGTCTGACATCATAGCAATTAACAGATTTATCAGCACAATCAACGTTACCATCATGTATGTCCCGAACACTATCTTTACAAGGGAAACAACCCATATAGGACTGCGATATAGTGATGGAAGATTATCCGGGTCTACCAATCCAAACAATGAGAATAATAGCAGTTCGAAAACATCTAGTGGAGTTATATATGGAGTTTCTAGACCTGCTCCATCTCCGTCACCGAGAGCAGGATCAGGTTCGGTTGGTTTAAACACAGGCTGATAGATTGATGTCAGGTGAAGCGTAAATCCAGTCATGAATATAACTAACACGACAAGAAATCTTGTTAAATCCTTTAACAAATCACGAATAATGATTGCCCATGGTCCGAACAGGTGATGGAATGACAGGAAGTCCAACAATTGTACAAAACATAACAATAAAGCCCATGCAAAAATATGATTACGAATGAATATGGCCACAAGCCTGTCATTCTCTTCGAATGCAAATGCAATAACATGTATGGCTATGGCCACTGCACTCATTATAAGAATAATTGCTTTAATATATCCAAGTCCGTCACGATCACCCGGATTCGTCAATTCTGAAACTAGCAATCCAGACAACCATGCTAGTAAAACCCATTCATACCAGTGTGGTATCAACGACCCTGACTCCCAGATGGGCACTAGTGGATATACTATTGTTATTGAGATAAGTAACATCAGGTAGAGGTGTGATACTAAATATGACATAAATTTTATAATCGGAACTTTGTTAAAACGCTGTCTTAATGGAAGAGAAAACAATATCCAAACCATTGGCAGGAACAGGAAACCACAAAATAGCATAAGTATTTTCCATGTAGCCCAATTCAGATTGCCCATCCAAATATCTGAAAGATATTTCTGCACAGCTGGATGTGCAACAACAAGTTTTTGTTCATTTTCCATTAAGACGTCAAGAAATGGAGTTCCATTACAGTCCACTGCTTTCAGAAGCGTTGCTGGACTGTTAGTGCTTGTAGCAGTTGAAAGAAGATCGGTTGCCATATTTTCACAATAATCACCCGCAGCAGTTAAATCACGTGCTCTTTCTTTTTCTTTTCCAGCAAGAACACGAAAGTTTTGTGACAGCTTGGCAGCAGTATCCACTGGGGCAGGAGACAGTACGATAAATTCTTCAATACATTTGTCATTGTTCTGCTTACCACAACTCATCAAATCAAACACGAACTGTAATCGTACATTAAAATGTCGTAAGCATTACGTAGCTAGAAAACATTTTTTCTTAAAGTGTCTATAATTCATAACAGTATGAGTAATCAATTAGTTGATAAGGTGAAATGGGACATTAATATTTAAAAAGTGGAATCTACAAAAAAGACCAGCAATGAAAAGGCTAAAGTATAATCGAACTTAAAACAAAGTTATTTATTTCATGTTCAACACGTTCTGTAGTATGCGCTTCACAATACCATTAGTTTGAATCCATTTACATTTTAGAAAATGTTGTTGTTTTTTAAAAGAAAAAAGAAAAGAAAAAAATGACGTGAAATACTTATACACCACTTCTAATCCTAATTACGTTAAGTGTTATATTTTACCTTTTTATCGTCCATAAGTCTTTGAGTACTATGGTCTTTCTGCATCAAATAACTGAGTACATCAAAATGAGAGAATGATGCCGCATAACATATGGGAACTTTGCCATCCTTAGTCTCATGCTTTGTTGAAGCACCGCTTTCTACCAAGTATTTCACTACATTAAGATATCCCGCTTTTGCTGCAAAGTGCAAACTTGTCCATCCATTCTGTAAGGGAAAAAATTCAAATACAAGTCATTTTGTGATCGGAATTGGGTATTCGGCAGCATAATTTAATAAGATTGAAGTATTCAAGACGCATTTATATGCATAGCTTAGTTCTTTATGATTATTATTTACAATATGATTGCAATTTGACAGAATCTATCACTTCCGTAATTAAATCATTTTCTTCAGCATCTAAAACATTAATCTATTGCCACACATGCATTTTGCCGTCGTGTAACATAACCACAGTAATAGCAAAAATAGTCCAAGTATTGGGCATTTGAAGAAGGTTTTTTTTCAAACTTTTTTTTTTTAATTTTTAAATTTAAAAGGGGATCCATTTACAGATCATATAATTCAATATGGTAATTACACGTCAACAAGTAAAACCATTTCAAATGCATAATGATAAGAAATTAGGCTTTTCCCAAATATGTCTTTGTTTTGTATATGAGTTATATAATTAATGAATAACAATTATTTCTTATATAAGCCATACCTTATCAGAAGCATTTATGTCAGCTCCCTGTCCCACTAATAAAGTGACCATGTCTAGGTGACCATTGGCCGCGGCCAGCATAATGCCGGTCCGTCCCCGTTTGTCCTTTACATGAATCATTGCTGTAGATTTACTCAACAACAGACTAACCACGTGAACATGTCCACTCTGTGCAGCCAGATGGAGGGATGTAGAACCCTGATACAGAAGACACCATGTTTATATCTCTACATATATTTTGAGGTCTAAAGATTTTATTCTATACTTTCTGATAAAAACGACATAAAATAATGTTGGCAGCTCATAAATAACAAATAATACATTTATTTTCAAATACCAGTGATATAGGATGTGTTAAAATGGCCAAATCTAAACGTATGTATGTTTTGCAAGTTACATTGTTTTGCAAGTTACGACTATTTAAAAGTGATTTCTTTAATTTAATGTTGTAGCTGACTTATGTCATTGTTGTAAAAAATCTGTCTTAAATATAATATAATCATAGTTTATATAACGACACTATACCTGTATCATTGTTACTGTGTCTGCCTGAACACCAGGACAATTTAGAAGAAGGCGTACCAAACCTTCGTGGCCAGATTTCGCTGCAAGATGTAAAGGCACCAATCCATACTGTAACAACAAGCATGCAACATCTTAGTTATATACACATCATACTAATATATCCCATTTGTTAAATTTATTGAAATCACAATATTTTCTTTGATACTGAAAATTAATTAATAAAACAACAGAAATGAAATATGGAATAAACTTTTAACTAGACAGAAAACGTTTCCTTCGAGTTTGATGTATGAGGCATACACGGTGGTTTTCAAGTGTGTCTTTTAAGAAGCATGTAATTTTTACAGTAGAGTTTCAAATTTAATTCTAATCTAAGGTAAACATTATTGCCTTTAATTGACATTCACGATAACAAAGATCGAATAAAAAAACAATATTATATGAAAATTGCAGATTGAGTTCGACTGAGCCTATTCATAAGAGATAATGGAAAAAATTGCAACTTCTCTCACACTCTCTAGCACCGGCTTTTATTTTTATTATTATGCAGTATTTATGGGTGCAAAGGTCTTAAATGATACACCTTAAATTCATGAAAAACTCTTTTTTAAATCAAATTTTGATGGCAAACAGTAGTAATATATTTGAAATGCATTTTCTTTCTAATACGTTGTTTCACTATGTAAAGGTAGTTTAAACAAGACACAAATTAAAATGTAGAAATAATTTACAAAATTACATTATGTACTTAAGTATTAAATGTGAGTTATATGTTTACATTTCATTCATATTGATGATTACCAAACAGTGTTAATCTTGGACCTCAAAATGATAGCTTTAACAAGGTATACAATAAGCTAATATTTTAGTTTTTATAGAGTTTTGATTGTTGTGTTAAACATATACATATATAATCAATTTAATAATAAAAATGCAATACATATTTTTGTGAACGAATGAATAAACTTCAAAAATCATTTCTAGTTAAGCAAATACAAACATATAAAATTAACAGAAATATAACTTAAGTCATCAAAAACATGTGGAAATCAATTACTTGAAATTTTCTAAGAAAAAATAAACTATGTTTTCTGAAGAAGAATGGAAATGAATGTTTAAAATGGTTAATTTAGTTAATCGGACTCTAAAAGTATCTGCTTCTAATGTAAAGTGCCTTAAGTTCCTAACAAGTCTTTCTCAATGACATTAAAACTTAGTAATGTAAGTGCTACATTTCATGTGAAAGCAACACATTCAAATTTTGGAAAAAACAAACTTTCAACCTTTTGTTAAACAAAATTCGTAGGAAATAAGATACTGAAAATTAATGTTAATACAAAAAATAATGTGTTGTAAACTTCAATAGAAAGAAAACAAAACTGTCAAATAAAAATATGCATAGCTTAATTCAATTCCACCCTTTCAACATATTTGGAGATAAAATTTGCGAATGAAATTCAAGCACATAATCTATGAAATAAAAATTCACATCGAATAATCTGGTATCAAAACAATAAAATCCCCGAAAATAAAATAATGCACACCACACAATATAAAAAGTGTACAAACATCCCAAGGCATTTAATCTTTCTTATAATTTAAAATTTGCTTTGTGATTGTTCTGAGCGAAAAAGCAAACTGCAAACGGCAAAATGTGGTAAATCCTTATATCATTTCTTAATAAGCTATATGTGCACATCCGTACCTCTCCAAGTGCCCCAATAAATCGTTTCTTTACACCAAACCAGCCTCTCTTTCCCTGATTTTTCATTTCATAAACATTTGTTAATAAATGATTCAATTAACAGTAAACAAATGAAAAATGGGATAGAGACAAACATAATATTGAGCCGTGTCACGACAAAACCAACATAATGGGTTTGCGACCAGCATGGATCCAGACCAGCCTGCGCATCCGCGCAGTCTGATCAGGATCCATGCTGTTCGCTTACAGATCCTATTACAAGTAAAGAAACTGATAGCGAACAGTATGGATCCTGATCAGACTGCGCGGATGCACAGGCTGGTCTGGATCCATGCTGGTCGCAAACGCATTATGTTGGTTTTGTCATGACGCGGCTCATATGATATTTTTTTTCCACATGACAGGTGATATTTTCTAAGCTAATAATTTAGATGTCAAATTTCATTGTTTTTTTCTGGACATCCTAATATAAAGATAGTTGTAAAAGTAAAGTTTGAAACAACTCACTTCAGTAGTCAGATCTTTAATCCCCGTGTCACCGCCTCCAGGAGGATCGGACTTAATTGTAGCCGGTACAGTAATTAACATCTCACGGATAAAGTCGACCTGGCCATAACTGGCTGCTACATGCAGCGCTGTTAACCCGGTCTGAAAGATTATATGAATAATGATTAAGTGTAAATTTATTATTGAAGTAGGAATTTCATGAAATAATAAAATAGTGAAATGATAGAAACCTTAACCAGACAAAATGACAAAAATCGACCTTTCAGTCTTTCGCCGAATTTTTTTTTTCAAGACAACATGGCAGGTCTTTGCATATAATACACAAACTTCTCATTTTTGCTTTGTGCTATCAATTTTAACTTACAAGTTAATATGTCGTATAAGAAAATAATCAAAATTGATAAAGAATGCACATTTTTTTTACCTTTCTGCTAGGGGTCCTAAGAGACAATTTCCCTTTCAATGCTTCCATTATTTGGATATGACCATGTTTGGCAGCTAGATGCAATGCAGTATTGCCATCCTAGAAGACAAACAATAAAGTAATGTAATCCACAGATAATAAAACACGGAGATATATGAACAAAATACGAATAACTGTAAAAATGTTTACTAAAGCATATTTTTAGGATAGATACATCCGCTTGTCATTATTGAAACAATCTATGTTTATATTTTTTAAAATGACATTACATAAAATAGCATCTTGTAACATTTCAACCGGAAACAAAACAGAACGGTTACCCCATTTTCCTCCTTTGGATTGGCCCCAGCCTCAAGAAGCGCGCCAACAACTTCAGTATAACCCCCTTCTGCTGCCATATGCAACGCTGTTGAATCATTTGTCTAAAAGTTAAAATAATAACATATTTAAGTGTAATATGAGTGGTATGGTAACCATCTATCAGTAAAGATCATTATAAATTCAAATACTAGTTAGTATATTAATTTCACGTATTGCAAACGAAGAAACATTGTTGCTATTCTACGTATTTGTGCTTGAATTGATAGAAAGTCATACTTTTAATTTTAATGATTATTAATCACATGTATATCTTCTAATAACTGCATGTCTATCTTATCAATTAATGTCATTTGATTTAAATTTTTCATTCCTTCTTCAATGATGTTTGCTCAATTTTCACTAATCCGTAATTAAAAAACACAAATTTAAACAACATGATAAAGAATGTACTTATTGTAAAATTATTTATTTGAATCTATTTGAAACAATTTGCTTTTGTTTCTGCTCCTCTCCAGAGTTGTTCAAATCATATACACATTAATACGTAGAATGTCATATACTATCCTTCAAATACCGATGTTATTTAAAATGTATTGCTGTACTACAATTTGACACACTATGCCATGACTTATTAATTTAGGTTAACTTTTAGAAGACTTACCCTGTTTCTTGTAGAAGTAACAACCGATTTATTAAACTTCATCAATTCCTTGATCACACAGACACTTCCTTTTGCTGCAGCTATATGTGCTATTGTCATCCCATTCTGTGTTTCAGAAATATATAATACAGAGTATCATGAAAATATTTCATTGACAGCTTTTTATATTTTATAAACTATATAAAACAGAAATGTATTCTGTAATCTGCCCATAAACACGTTAACAGTGATCACATTTAAGGTCCATTATGCCTCAGATATGCTATCATTTTTATTTCTCAAAATATTTCTTATGTTGGTGTCTACAGTTTCCACAATAATATTCATTTGCCATATAGATGAACTATCTGCTACTCTGTTGGCAATGGGTATAATCATAGTGAATGAGTATTTTGTATGGAAGTCTACTACTTTAACGATATATCTCACACATTCAGCGCAACTTTCTTCCGTTTTAAAACATCTAATATGCTCTAAATCAATTATTAAACATTGTAAAGTACATGATTGCATTTCTAAAGAATTAAAAATATCAATTTCTGAGGCATAATGTGCCTTAAACATACCGAAGTTAATTGCTTAATGGATTAAATGTTATTGCTTCCTTACTGGCTTATCATATAAATTAAATCTTATCTTATAAATTTCTATATCGCTAAGAAGAAAGTCAATTACCGTGAAACTAGAACTCCGCGAGTCGGATGTGTCGCCTTGTAAACAATATAGTTTAGGAGAAATGGCCAGGACAAAAATGAAATATGAAAATTAACAAAGGGCAATGAGATCTATCATCCTATGAAGTTTCATGTCAATAGCTTTTATACTTGAAGAGAAATGGCCTGGACAAAAATAAAGTATGAAAATTAACAAATGGCAATTACTCAAAAATTAAGAAATGCAGAGTACCGGTTCTTATGCATTGCACTTCTTTTTAATGAGATCTATCATCTTATGAAGTTTTAAGTCCATAGCTTTATACATAAGGAGGAATGGCCTGGACAAAAATTAAAAGTATGAAAATTAACAAAGGGCAATAACTCAAAAAATAAGAAGTGCAGAGTACCGGTTCTTGTACACTGCACTTCGGGTCATTATAAGAAGCATGCATACCAAGTTTGAAGTCAATCCAACTTATAATGACTGACTTATGCTCCGGACAAGCTTAAGGGGACGCCGACAACGACAACGACAACGACGCGAACGACGACGCCGACGCCGACAAAAGTAACCCCTATATGTCGCCTTTTTCAAGGCGACACAAAAACCTTATCTTTAATTTGTTACAAGTTGTACAAGATCATGAAGTTAAATTTCTTGAACTGTGAATAAACGAATGTTTTCTTCATACAGTGAAATACTGAAATTGGTAAATTAAGAATGACAAGTTAAATGTTGATGCTGCACATCAAAGACGCCGCCAAATGATGTGAACAGTCAATCAGCATTGAGAATCGTTCTCTATTACAGTTGAATATCCGAAGCACAAATCATTTTATCTCCATGCTCTTGGTATGTGCTCGTTGTTTTGTTATAAAGTTGCATATTTTGTGAAAAAGTAGAACCGAATCCTAAATTCACACAATAATGCCAGGTCTGAAATACTTAAATGTTTGGGGTTTTTTTGTTTTTGTTTTGTTTGTTTTGGGGTTTACGTCACATCGACAAAGTATAGGTCATATCGCGACGTTCCAGCTTTACTGATGGAGGAAGACCTCAGGTGCCCTTCCGTGCATTATTTCAGGCACGAACGGGTACCTGAGTAGAACCACCGACGTTCCGTAAGCTAGCTGGATAGCTTCCTCACATGTAAGAATCCAAAGTCCCTGTCGGGATTCGAACCCACAGCGGTGAGGGGCAAGTGGTTTGAAGTCAACGACCTTAACCACTCGGCCACGGACGCCCCTTTAAATGTTTGTCTGTTTCGACAAAGACTGAAACGTCTGGTCGAATCAAAATAAATTGGATAAATAAAATTGAAATGATTGGTATACTTAAAATAAATTCAAGACAATATGTGCCGAGAATATACCAATTTAAATATTGGTACGAATTGCATAATGTTCGAAAGATTTTGAGGACAAACTGTTCTGCAGTGATCTCCCCTTACAGGCCGTAGCGTAACCGGTTTGTTGTACTTCCTTAACGGTTGAGTGAGAACCGCCTCTCTGATAGTGGGCGTGGTTTAGGCTTTGTAACTTGTAATTTAATGATTCGACAAGTGATATTGATCAAAGGTGCCCTGGTTCCCTTCTACCCCGTCAACAAATACTAAGTGCTAGCATATGGAGCATTATATCAAATTAAATATGACAATTTAAGGCGGAGCCGAACTTCAACAGAGGTGAAGCAAATGAAGTAAGTGACAGTTGTCACCTCTCTCAACGGTTAAGTTTTAGAACGATCAACTATAGACTGGCTCATTGGCACGTTATTATGTAGATAAAATTAGATAATGATAAAAAGAATATGATATTCAAACATGGCACTATCACTTCAGTTAAACGTTTATTCTAATCCCTTAAAGCTCTGTGACATGTTGTACATCATAAAAGTTATTTTTGTTAGAAAATTTAAAAACAGTGTGATTTTGTTAAAACAAAAAAAAAATACACAAAAATCAAGTCTAAAATTGTCCCTATTGCTGTATGGACAAATACATATCTACTAGCGTCTAATAATTGTTAGCTCCATATGACCGAGTGCCGGTTTTATTTTTATGCACACGGTTGCCGTTTGCAATTTCGTGAACGCTCTGTGTCTTTTGAAATAAATGGAAGGAAATATAAACTAACTGGCAGAAATGTACATCATATTTAGACGATTTGCAAATACAAGGTGTGTGCTTTTTCTGATCAATGTCAATGTCACATTTAGTCATTCATATAATTTATGAAAGTAGATATCAAAGGTGATACTCATTCAGTACCCGGTGTCATGAATATGAAGTGTTCTTAATGTTGATAATAAATTTTAAGTATAAGCGATATTATATATGCACAGGAAATATTACTGTTTATAATCCAAATAAACGTGGAATATTAAAGGAAATTCATCAGTTTCTTAAACACATGCAAATCAATAGAAATTCATTTATTGTGCTGCTAATTTGTTAATTGAGATCTTGTTTAATACTATATTTGAAGGGTGATAATTTTACAAAAATACGTTATAATATACAGAATAAAACGTGACATGTACAAAGAAACTACAGTTAGTACTTTACAAGACAAAGTAACCACTACATACTACGCACGTACATAGGTTTTACAACAACAACTAATTATGCATCACATATATGGCGTGTCCAAGAAAATAGGTAATATATTTTATATCTGTTTCTTAGGGTGTTTGATTTTTAAAGACCATCGGATTACTAGCCATGCAAGTATCTATCTAGGAGTACTGACACTATAGGAAACATTTATCTACTAGCCATTACCTCGTCCTTATAAAATAAAACATATAAATATGTTATAAACACATAATAACTGTAGTGATAAAATACATTATTATTAAGGAAGTATGGTTTATCTGTTAAGTAGAAATTGATTTGTCAAGATGTTAGTAAAATATCTTCATCCTTGCTATGAATGAGACATTGTTTACATGCATTAACTTTCTATCGAGAAATCCACGTTAAAGAGAAATATAAAATCATACATATATTACATAATATCAGCACTAATAAACTTTAGGCTCCATTATTATATCTCTGTTAATCAACGACATAACAAAGTCACGTGATGTATAAAACCCGATGGTATTTAAAAGACAAGAAAACTCGTATGCATATTATGTAAAAAATGTCAATATCCATACCGTATTTGCCATGGTTACAAGCTCTGGTCTGTGTTTGAGAAACAGTTTAACAACATCTGAGTGGTCGTTTTCTGCCGCTAGGTGGAGCGGTGTCTGTACATGCTGTGAATAATACTTGCAAAGCTTAGTTTTTGTCTTGAATAGAAAAATATTTGAGTTATCTATATATACAATGTAGTCATACTGTAAGATAGTTAGAAATCTAATTTACGGCCAAAGTAAATATGTATTGAGCCACACAGTGTCTTACTATGATGAATATTTGATTATCAAGAAATAATTTCAAAATCATTTTTTAACTTGCCAATATAGGAAGAAAAGAAGGTAGAATAATCAATAGAATAATTTACATATTTAAAACTCATTATGAAAATACAAAACAGACATAAATGACTCCGGAATAATTGGTTTGTTGAATCGACTTTACAAGATATAAATAATTTACTTCAACATAATCAAGTTCAATAACTCACAAACACAAATGCACAATGACCAACCAGGGAGCATGTAAAGAGTTTCATAAACGTTTTGGAATAAAACAGATTTATTCAAAAGCTGCTGCTCTTGATTTAAATAATTTATTGGCATCGCAAATAGAATAATTTTATCCCTGTATTCTCTTTAGAATTTCAATTAAATAAAATAATCAATTGAAATGCTTTAAAGACACCCAGCCTTAATTTTTGTATCCTCAACAAAGAATTGTTTATGTCAACAGTCGTCAAGAACAATGCTAACAATTCAGGTAATTTATAAAACAAACACAAACAATTAGGAAGACATATCACCAGGCACATTTTCGTAATGAGCTTTAAGACCATCTGTTGCAACATAATTGAGTTCAAAGGTATAAACTATTACCTCGTCAACGGCATTTGCGTCTGCATTAAACTTGAGTAATGTATTGCAAACTTCCAACCGCCCGTACTGTGCCGCCATATGTAAAGGAGTTTTCTTTGCCTGCGTATGTTTAAAAATAATTGTTAATTGAAAGAATTTTATTGGACGAGTTCCTATTTAAATAAAGAAGCATTAGAATTTAAATTTTATTTAAGTTCTTTCGAAAAGAAATTCATGAATAATTTTTAAATAATTGCAACAATTTGTTCATTATTTGATTAACAATATATGTATAAATCGAAAAATGATTTCAATTAAATACCCATTACGCATGTTATACGTACGATTTTCCGAACTTTAATTAATACTTACGAGAGAAAGTGCGTCTATAGATGCTTTGTGAGTTTGTATAAGAAGTCTGACCAGAGTGTTATACCCATTCTGTGCCGCTAAATGTAGAGGCGTAATACCGGATTTAGATTTGGCATTTACATAAGCTTTATTCCACAACAACATGTCAGCAACTTGATCATGACCATTTTCAGCTGCAAGATGCAACGCAGCTTTACCATGTGCCTGGAATAAGTGTTACACTTTATATTATGTTACCAATGTACATAAATACACTGTGCCAAGCATACATCTTAAAGAGAGGAATTAAATCTAATTTATTTACGACTATCTGTCAAGTTCAGAAATGGTTAAGGCATGTCCTCGAACAAAAGTTTATGACCCTATTCACTATTTACCTCGTCAAATACATCGACTCTTGCATGGTGATTAAGAAGTATCTTAGCGACCTCAAGATGACCTTGTTCACTGGCAACTAGCAATGGTGACCAGCCATTCTGAAAATGAAATGAATACAAATGCAAATAAAATTTATTTAATATAACGAAATGGCAAAGTTGAAACAGTTCTTTTTTTTTGTTGTTTTATCATATTTCTCTTAAAACAGGATCTATTTCAAAAAAAGAAGAAGAAAAAGTAGGGAAAAGAGTAAAAAAAGATAAAAAGGAAACAACATATTTTTAAATTTCTTTCTGCCTGCACAGATCATCATAAATCATTATTTTGGCTGCAGCATGAAACACATACAAAAATGAAATTGTAACTGTTTATTATACCTTTGCCTGCCTATTGACCGCATTCTGAATGTTGATAACACCAATATGCTTTACCATTTCCAACATTACATCGTCATTTCCCGATCTAGCAGCGTAATGTAAGGGCGTCTCGTATGTCTACAAGATAAATAACAATAGATTATCAATATGTCACATTATATCATAATAATGTAAAACTTGTATCTGCATATTTTAACTGACAATCACAGATAAAAATCAATAAGGAAATATGAATTATCAATACAATGCTACATTGTCGTTTAGTTTTTTAACAGAATTATCAGGTCAACAATGATTTGGGAATGATTTAACTTACAAACATTCTGCTTAATTACAACATAACTATCTTTCCTAAAGTATCAAGTGTAATAATTTAACGATTAATAAAAACAAATAGGACATAGAAGATGTTTATGGTATTTGAAACATATATTACCATCTTGGAATGAATATTTGTGTCACCATTATGTTCAAGCAGAAGTTTCATAAGATCGGTATCCTCAAATTCGTCATGTGCCAACGCTTTACTTAGACCGGCGGCATAATGCACGGATGTTTCACCTTCCTAAAGAAAAAGTTTTAGTATTGTTAAGTTATCCATATAAAAATTAAATTTTGTCCATGATGATAAAAGTGCACAGTTATTAGAAATAAGGATGCTATTCGTTTAATGTAAAAAACAAACAACAAACGAAGACAACGCAATAATATAATAAAGTTAGTTCAGGCGGTGCGAATCGTTACAAAATAAAATGGTCTCCCGCAAGGTTGGAAAATATTTGAAAGCAATGACAAAATGGAATGTATGAATAAGGCATCAAAGTATTTTTTTACAACACAGAGTGCAAATAAATGTATTAATACCTAAAGTGAAATGCACCGAGGAAACGTTCGGAATCAATTGCTGTAAGCTGCAAAACTGGCAAATGCGAATGTTAAAGACCGTAACAAACTTCAAAGTTAATGCTTAAAATTCCAATGCCAACAAGATACAATTATGGCATCAAAAGGTATTTAATTGCATTACTACCAACATATCATTGAGTCGCAACTTCTTAATCACCCCATCGTTATATGTTCCGTAAAATATGGTTATAAATCTATCACGAAGCGGAAACTATAAACCTGATACTGTGAAATTACCGGATCAACATATGATATAAACTTGTTATATAATGGGTTATACAGTAAGAAACATACATAATTTTGTTGATTTACAAGCATTATGGCATCTATACGAGATTTGTGCCGAGTCACATATTGAATGATCTCTCTGGCCACTTCCAAATGGCAGTGTCTCACCGCCATATGCAAAGGCGTTTCTCCAGCCTGAAAAATGATACGACTATGAACCCCAATGTATAAGAAATACTTTTAAAATGCATGGTATCAATATATAAAATGTACAGTTTTGTCACATTTGAGGTAGACTCGTATATATATATCCCTTGATTAAATGCGTATAATATTCATTACCCTTAGGTCAGATCGATTTTAAATATCATGCGAGATTTATTTCAGTCGGAAACGTATTTTTGCATTGAAAATGCACATTCTTCACAAGCTTTCTATTGACATTATAACCATAAATAGAAAATTCTTATTCCGGTTTAACTAAATAATAACTAAGAGTAAGTGTATGTCATTTTGAAACATTGTATACAGAAATAAAATGTAAATATAAAAAAAATAGTTGAGGCTATAAAACAATTGCACTATTTATAAACACATGTGTATTCAACGACTAAACAAATAAGAATATTTCGAAACATTTGTATCAGTAATAACATTTTTTTCCAATTTCTATTCAAATTTTAATTTGGTATGGACAATATATATTTTTATTCTTGAGTACCTTATCTTAATAACATTTGATTTATTTAATTAGGATATACAAAGGTCTACTGATATAAATACACGTCATGGCGAGTGCTTTATCATGGTGTAAACCTTTTTAATATAGAATGTAACATTTATCATAATAGCCCATACCTTTGAGAATGCTGTCGGATCAGCACCGTCCTCTAGAAGTGCTGAGATCATTGATTGCTGACCGCTCCTTGCTGCAATATGCATTGCAGTCTCACCATTCTATAGCAAATTGATATAATAAAAGAATATTTTAGCTTAAAATACAAAAGTCAATTCAAAATAAAGAAAACGTTTCCATTTTATGCTCTATTATGATCTTAATCCAGTTACTGCATAAAGCATTTATAATAAGTGAAAAGGAAGAATTATTATCATATAAAAACATGTAAGGGATAACAACTAGTTTATGAGGGGGGAGGGACTAGTTTACCTCTTTAAATGCATTTACATCTGCCCCACTCTTCAGTAACATATCGGCACATTTTTCACCTTCTTTTGTACGGGCGGCAATGTGTAACGGTGTTTCTTTACCCTATATAAATAGAATAATAAATAGATTATTTACAGTTTAACAGGTTTACTAAATCGTCAAGAAAGAAATAAGTCAAAATTTTTGCTCCAAACTCAAATCTCTTGACATATGAAAGATAATCTCATCATCAAAAATTGTAATAGTTGCTTTTCAGCTTGTTCCATATGTTACAGCCTAGCTTTTTATTCGCTATTTGTTGAAATAAAATATAAGATACCCCTTAGCAAACTGTTTCAAGAATGTAAAAAAAAATTAAAATCTGATATAGAGTATCGCTGAAACTAGTCGGTTAAGATTGAAAATAAAACTCACATTACTTATTATAAGAAGTTGTGTTTTTTGGGGTGATTGTGGGGGTAACTTTTTTTAAATGCCATTAGATATATAGTTAGTTGCATATTTTTAATACACGTGTACTAGTATTTGGATCTTAAGATAAATAAGATGTCCAAGAGTATAATAACGGTCATTTTTTTTAAATCACCGATCGGAGTTTAACTTACCTTTCCACCTTTGGCTTCAACTTGTGCCCCATAACCAAGTAATAGTTGAACAGATTGTGGTTTGCAAAACTCTACCGCCAAATGCAATGCTGTGTAACCATCCTAAAATAAAAAAAATCAAACATATCTGTCAAAATGTTCTTGTATTAGACGTGAAATAACATGATTGCTGATATTTCTATTTGTATAATTCATGATTTATATGCTTCAAAACGAAATATACAACATATGAACATACCTTTGTTCTAGAGTCAACTGCAATCCCTTTTTGAAGAAGAGCTTTAAGGACTGACACGTGACCTTTCATAGCAGCCGCATGGAGACAAAGTGCACCTGACTATATAAAAACACAATGTGTTAAAAGAAAGATAAATACAACACATACCTACAGTATTTACAGTCATTTACATGTTACGATCTTGAAATGATTTCATATACTTAACTTTAAATCGATATGTTGCAGGTTTCTTTTAATACTTTGCTCGATTGGTTCTAACTTTGGAGAAAAATAGAGGTCTAATTTATGAACATTTACAAATTCCATTAGAACTTGGCAAAATTGCCATGTGTTTCATCTAAATCTAATATTTCTATATCGTAGAACTTCGAACCAAACAGAAACTTTCCAGTTAAATGATTATTTACGTCTATGATGACAGTACAAATTACTACATTAATATATTTCACGATAATTGTGTTTGTGATAATAAATTACTGAGTTGTTACCATATAAAAACCATATTCGCCTGAGAGTGATATAACAAACATGTTTAACCGAGCATGGTATTGTTTACCGAGGCATAAGCAAAGGTAGACAATGATTTTCAAAAAATAACAATATGTATTATTAATCAACACTTTTTTGTGATATTTATTAACCATACGCAAAATGAGAGTTATCTTTATGGTTTATGCAAGTGTACCACGCGACTAGGGACTTTTAACTACATGTACTATAGACGTAACAGTTTCTAGCAAATAGTTCATAGCAAATATCTGGTCATGTGGTACATTTTCAAGAGATAAAAGAAATAAGTAACACATAGGTATGTTGGTAAAAGCAAACAGATCACCCTTTCGTAAACATAAAGACGTCATTCGAGATGATATTTTTCTATTACCCACAAACCTGTGTGCTTTTATATACTGAACCCTCAGAGGGATCTCATATAGTTTTATTTTACCGAACATAAGCTCTAATTATCAAAAATAAGGTAAAAAAATCAAGTTAAATTTAACGTTTACAATATTCAGCATTGGCCAACATTTTGACAGGCGTCTATTCAATTCAGACCTATAATTTTTCATGTCATTGAAATAATGTAATGTCATTCCTTTAGTAATTCTGTAATGTTACACATTTTTCAATAAAGATAAATGGACATACCTTATTTGGCATATATAAGGGAACACCTTTCTTTAGAAAAGCTAAAGCAGTTTCAGGATGACCAAATGTTGAGGCTATGTGCATCAATGTGTTACCGTCCTTGGTCCTTGCTGACAGAGATGACCGGTATTTGTCCAGTAGCATGTCCACTATGTGTGTTTGGCCTCTTTCAGCGGCTATATGCACAGGACTGCGGTCATGCTGCAATAGGTGAGTTCAGATTATGATCACAACAAATCATTGCTTTATTAATATCATAAACTTTATGTAGCGAGACTAAATATGCATGCATCTGTATGAATCTAGTTCAGATTTATTTCAGTGTAGAACATAAAAAATGTATATGTGTAGGATTTACATTGAGTTATCTCTGAGTGAAAATGTTAACTTTATGTCTTCAGTAATATTGTTAAAAATTAATCAGAGCAGAATCAATCATAACGTTTTCTCAATGTTTATTTGATATTTGAAATGCAAAATTTGCACCTTGGCTAATTGTTTCTTAAGTGATATGCATATATTTCATGCCATTCCTCACTGAAATGCACCGAATCAACCTAGATATTTGTTTAATTCATTAAAAAAATCAATGACCATGCTAACTAAATTGATCGATCGATTTGAGAAGGTCGGTTGAATACTGTTTTTACATAATTTTTACTGAACTCAAAATACGTCTTATAAATGCATTACAAAGTGTAAGTAAAATATCATAGCGTGTTTATTGTCTTTATTGAAACCCATTAAGGTAACTTGAATAACAAGTTTATGGCATATTTCTGTAAGAGTCCAATGGATTTAAATAGTCCACAGGTGTGAATACATTACAACAATTGGGAAAAATGAATGTTAAATTATACATTTTTTTCTATTTCATTTTTATCTTAACATAATAGTGTCTTTCGTAAGAATGTATATTCATTTAGGACTTTTACAAACACCCTGCAAGACTTTGAGGAAATCAATCCATTGTATGAAGTAATCTTTCATAAACATTTATCTTTTAATGTTTACAGTAGAACGATATAAATCTCACCTTGTCTGTAAGATACGGACTTGCTTTGTTCAGTAGAAGAAATTTCAACATTGCTTCATCACCTTCAAATGCTGCAATATGTAACGCTGACTGGCCTTCATTCTGAAGATTAATGATAGATTATTTTGAGTCTTAAAAGACGAGAAATGCTTGATATAGACTTGCTATTCTTACCGGAGGCAAATATAATATTTACTTTAAAATTATGTAAATAACAATCTGTACCATGAGGAATTTAACTTCATCAAATATTGATAAAATGGAAACAGGAGTACCAACCGACTCGTGACACATCGGTAACCAAGCATAATATGAGTAACTGTTAAAATATTGCATTTGAAAATATTCCGATGTAAAACAAACACTTATACTTTGTTTCTTCCGTAAAATCTATATTGAACAGGATCAAACACGATCAATATGGATTACTGGACTTGAACATGTGATTTTATTGCATTTAATAATATATCAAAGTCTTTGTTGCGTGACACTTATCGTTTAACCGTTAAATGTAATTGTTAAAACAACCAGCTAATACAGGTGACTTCAAATATCAATTTATTCTAATTCAAACATATAAACCTTACATTTTGTAAGTCAACAGGTGCCCCTGCATCCACTAGAAGTCTTGCAAGGTCCATATCTCTTCTGCGACAAGCAACATGTAGTGCAGTGTCTCCATTGTCCTGATGCATGTAGTGAATTGTTTCATATTATACAAGTACTTTTCAATCAATATATTTAAAATAATTTAATGACTTGAATTGTATCTGATATACGTAATTTCTGTAAAACAATCTGGAAAAGCGGTTGATTAATTGAAAGCAATAAAACAACAACATTATGTGAAAGTCGGTAAGATTGAGTCTGTTCATGAGAGATAATTTATAAGTGCAACATCTTCCCCACGCCCCATAGCACCGGCTTTAAAGCGTTATTCAATTTTCGACACTAACGTGCTGGAATCAATGTTCCCAAAGGACCAGAAAATTAAACAACACTGGAGTGAAGAACGGTGAAACTTTTTACGGATACAACAGGGCACTTGACACCTATTGTTGATCGTGCCTTTGTTAAATCTACCAAATTATGTTTTACATTCTAATAATATCCGTCTACGGAGGCCAATATAACACTTCCTCCGGAAGAGTGATTGTTATTTTAGGCTTCGGTATGATTTAATGTCATAAAAGTAATGATAAGATCTGTAAAGTTAAAAAGCATTTTTTACTCTTAAGCATCGAGTTAAAATATTATAGATAATTTTAGGGACCGGTTTTGGGTTAATAGAAGTCTGACCGCATATTTTATGAACAACAAGTCCTTTTTAGAAAATAATGTATGCTGTTTTGGCGTATTATTGGGCACTTAGCGTATCAAAAATATAAAAATTAATTCATGAGTGTATTACAGAACATGCATCTAAATGGAACACAATTGCTGAACGCATCTTTAAGATATCGTAAAACCGTATGCAGCCATCATATACACATAATTTTATAAAAAGAATGAAACTGATAGATTCTAAAAGCATTTTACCCATCTTTTAATATTTGAGCCGTGTCACGACAAAACCAACATAATGGGTTTGCGACCAGCATGGATCCAGACCAGCCTGCGCATCCGCGCAGTCTGATCAGGATCCATGCTGTTCGCTATCAGTTTCTCAACTTGTTATAGGGTTTGTAAGCGAGCAGCATGGATCCTGATCAGACTGCGCGGATGCGCAGGCTGGTCTGGATCCATGCTGGTCGCAAACCCATTATGTTGGTTTTGTCGTGACGTGGCTCATTTATTTTTCTACACACATTATAAGTAAAACAAAAAAGTGTTTTCAATGATAATTGTGCCGGTTAATATGAAAAGAGTACCTCAACTGTGTTCAAAAAGACTTGTCTAAGTATAAAAGATGTCATCGAATGTATCAACTCAAGATATAACTTTCTTTCACATTCTTACCGTTTGTATTTAAAAATCAAAACCCATTAGTGTTTATAACGTTCTTTACAATGCCTATAAATATCGTCATGCAGCTTATTCAAAATTTTAGATACAGATCTAACTTCTGTTCATAAACCTTAAAATGACATGTAGAATCGAACTATTTTCCACGAATATTTTAAATGCAGTCAAACTCACTTTCAATTAATGATAATGTATCCCAACATGAAACCATTGCAAACCTATAACAACATGTAGTAAAAGCAATAATGACAAAGCTGTAGATGTCCTTAATTAAGTAGTAATTCCAAAAATTGCAATTACTTGTTATTTAAATATAACAAACATCTTTACACATACACTCTACACATACGAAGATTGCAAAAATACAAATGACATACATTTTGCATTTGGAAAAATACTATTACAATAAATCATTTAATATGTTTTTGAGACATCAAAACAGTAGCATTTACCTTTCGCTGCATATTAAGTTGCTGTTCGGCATGCGATGACAACAATTCTTTGCATACAGCAACATTTCCAACTTCAGCTGCCAAAAACAATGGTATACAACCAATCTGAAAAAAGTAATATTTTCACTTTAATATACACGGTATTTTTTGTCAATATGAACGCAACAGGTATGTATTGCAAAACAACAACGGTTTCGTTATACCTCCTTATACTTTCTTATTATCTTATTATACAGTAACCTGCTAGTAACTTTAACATGCACAACATTCAGGATGATATTTTACCTTATTATTTTTCCTCATAACTAAATTGTTGCAGCACTTCTTCTCCGTATTCGTTCAAACGTTTACAATTGCATACCCATATTTAACGTATTACATGTACATATGCAACGATGTGAAAAACAATTTTCAGACACAATAACTGTGAGGATCACTCTTTGTTAATAAAGTTATTTTCATGTACGCATTGATATGTGTATTACTAAAAAACCCATAAATTGTTTAAGTAATGAACTATATTAAAATAATCCATCCTAAACGTAATTCAAGAGTTCAGTCATTGTTCTCATATCCAACTCGAACTATCATTAAATCAACAAGAAACACTGTTCTAGCATTATATATATTATGCGACCATAGATGAAAGACAAAAACATTTATGCAACAGGACTTGCAGATGACATAAGATACCTTGACGTTGAATCAATGCAACATAATTTCTAACTAATCGATTCAAATATCCGGTAAATAGAGGCATGTTGGATTTTCAGCCAACAATGTGAATGTGAAACATTCTTCTTAGGTGGTCAATCAAAGTCGAATTAGAAGTGATAAGGCAATCCTTTCAATGAGACAGCTCGAGCACAATGTTGCCTTTAAGTTTGCACATTTGATTGCGATAAGATAAAGATGTTCGTCCTTTCACAGTTAATCTGCACCATGGTGGCTCCAACAAACGATTTTAATTTCATAATAATTGATCTGTATTACAGAGGACAAAATAAAAATAAAGTTTTGTAAGCGGGATCGGTAGACTGACAGACAGACTCGTAGATGTCCGTATTACTCCTTTTCTATGTTTTACTGTATTTATCAAAAATATACCTTTATTGAACTTGTCTTACTTTTTTAAGTTTCTTAAGTTTATAATAAAATCAAAACTACGCCAAACAATACCTTGTCCATAGATAACCTCTGGTCTTTGACAGCAGCTCGCAATATAGCCTGTACAACTGTGACAGCTCCACTAGTTCTTGCACATGCAAGATGTAAAGGAAGCTCGTCTTTCGGCTAAAATGTGAGTAGATTCTTGTACACAGGAGAACCACAAAATAGACATCATTTATATGATATATTTACATAGCTGATACTATGATACTAATGTATTTGCAAAATCAAAGCACAAGAATATCATGTCAATAATACCTCAGTACCCCCTTAATTATTGTGCTTACATATGTCGAGAGCTACTATATTGAACAAATAATATATTTAATGGTAATAATGAAACTAAATATATAACAAATGTTTAGATAATTAAAAGACATAAGGTACTATACAGCTTAATGTAAAGTCATACATTCATAGACTGTAGGAGTTGCCAATTTTTAAGTATGTTTTGAGTGAAAACCAATTGTCGACAGTGTGCTGACCTAAATCTAGTACAAAGTATACCTGACTCTGTGACATAAATATGCTGTTGTGCTTAATGGAGCGGATGGCTGAAATATTATGTCCCTGTTGATTTGCTTTTTAATGCTGTCATTATGAACAGGAAATTATTTAAAGTGATTCAATAGAAAAACAGAACTAAATCAATCTAAACTTGTTAAGAAAAAATTATTGATACATTTTGTCTTTTCATTCAAATGTAAGGAATAATAAATGCATGTAATCGTACCCCGCCAGTGATGGTAATATCAGCCTTCTTGTTGAGCAATATTTTAACAATGTCATCTTTGGCATAAGCTGCCGCATAATGCATAACAGTTCTCCCATCCTGAAAATAATTGAAACATTGAGTTGTCCTCTAGCTACTCAGAATTGTAAACCGTATTCAGTTTTTTGTTAAGTTTAGCTTTATATAATTAATACTAGATTCAGGTATATATCCGAAAACCCGAAAAATATGACATAGTATCGATTTACAAAAGGTGTGATCAATTTGATCCTGCTAATTATAGGGTTATGACATTAGTTATCATTATGAGTAAAATCTTTTTGTTAGTTTTGAGAAACTGAATTAATTGCTGACGCGAATAAAAAAATGTGTTTAATATTAGTCAATGTGGTTTTCGACAGGTACGGTCAACCACTGATGCAATTTTCATACTACATTCTTTTAATAAAAAGTCTTGAAAATGAAAAATGATATTGTATATTTATGATTTACGAAAATGCATTTGATGCAGTCAATAGAGACTTTCTTCTATGGATGAATTTTGAAATATTCAAATGTCAACATATGCATCTGTAAAATCTTATGTTAAAGTTGATATAAGATTGACTATATTCTTTCATGTTACCATTGGTTTATAACAAGGGAAACCATTATCACCCTTGCTTTTTATTCTAATTATAAATGATATGAACAGTGTATTTATATTGAGCAAATTCTACCAGTAGATTTTCAATTATTATATGTTATATACATTCTGTTACTTGCAGGTTATATTTTTTGTTTACAAGTCTAAAAACTCAAATTAACTCAATTTGAAGATACTCATGTAGATGAGGTATGAAAATTAATATTGCTGAAACTAAAGTTTGTGTTTTTGAAAAGTGTTAAACTATTAGACTTATTAATATAACGATTAATGATGGACCCTTTGGATATGTAGATAAAATATTCATATACTGGTGACATTATAGTAGCAATGAAGGCTCTGTCTGAACAAGATTTAAAAGCACATCATAATCTTTTATCTTTATTTGATAGAGTTCAAGAGATATGGGGTGCTTTTGATTGCAAACAAACAAACAAACAAACATAATTTTTTTTAAAAAGAATTTTTGATGTAAAAACAAACACCTTTTAACAGTTTAATGCCAATAAAGAGAATAAAAATAAAGAAACAACCAATACCATAAATGTTCAGTATTTATAATATTTTAAATTAATAACTTTAGAGGACCTTCTTGGGCTAAAAATATTCACAATATTATAAATAATTTATGGTTTTCAAATGGTATAGATTTTTAGAATGATTTCAACTATATTGCATTATTTAAACAACGTGTGAAAGAGACCAATTTTTGCAGAGTTGGTACGAATCGATTGAATCAATGCCAAAACTCGATTAAAGAGATTGTATAAAAATGAATATTATTTTGAAGACTGCTGGTGGCTACAGATTTTGCCAATTCGACCAAGGCAGGCAAAAATCATCTGGCTATCCATGTGGCCTGATCATGTTATGTACTGTTTGCTATTAAGTCAGTAAAATATTTTTGAATTTTTCCGTTAAAATATGGGGAATGTTTTCGTTCAGATTGAAAAAAATATCAAATCTATTTAAAAAAAAATTAAGCGTGGTAATGGTTTCAGGAAAGCAAAATATGCAAAAAAAAGAAAAAGAAAAAAAAGCAAAAACATTCTAAAACTGGTGAAATATATTATGAAACGGTACTTTAATTGACGAAATATAGCATAACAACTATACTACAACTTGCGGAATATATCATACCTGTATAACTGGTGCCTCATATTTCCGTGGTACCCTTATTTCCAATGTATCTGGCTTAAACAGTCTAAAGTGCCTCCTAGACTTAATGAACCTGCCAGTAGTTTTACTTTTACTATTTTATTGTATTTTTATCGAAACGTTATATATAGAACTAAAAAAAATATTTTATTCAGATTAAGAGCAAAGTTTTTTGATATTTCACCATTTTTCTTTTAGATTTCATACCTTTTAAGAAAATCTTCTTTGTTAAAGAACCATTGAGGTATTTGATAAATGCCAAAGAGAAAATCGCCCCTTTCAGATGAGCCTAGGTAAAGGTGTACCAATAAATAGAGTTTACTATTGGTTTTGCTTTTGAAACTGTTAAAATGTAATTGCCTTGGAAATATGAGAACACAAATTTACTCACTAGGCAGCAGATGGGTGTTAATTACAATGTTATATACATAATTGCTTACATGCAAACATTAAATGGAATAAACTATGATGCAATTGACGTGTCTATCCTACAATATTAACTGTGTTTTTCAGAATTTTATCCTCTTAACTTTTGTTGTCTGTGGTAAACAGTTAAGTACCACGGAAATATGAGGCACCAGTACATAGCTTAAAATACTAACAGGCAAAATATACGTTAAAGGCAATACTATAACTTGCAAAATATACCTTAAAAATATACTAAAATTGGCAAAACAAACCATAAAACCTATACTATTACTGGTTAGATATAAATTAAAAATATAAATGTAACTGATAATGTTATGTGTACAAAAATACTGTAACTGCTAACAGATAAATGTTTCATTGTGATCTTGATATGCAAACCATGCCAGAATATCATCACAAGTCTAGTATCACCGTGATATCAATACAATTAAAATATGTGTCAGAATTTTATCATATCCATCATAGCAAAGGCTTTGATCATATTTAATCGATACATTATAACAAGTTTGTGACATGATGATGCAAAATTAATACAAACTAAATTGAGGCTAAATTACGATATACTAATTGTTTTAAACTGCGGATTGCTTTAGATAAGCAAGATGCTAATTTGTACCATATGAGCCGTGTCACGACAAAACCAACATAATGCGTTTGCGACCAGCATGGATCCAGACCAGCCTGTGCATCCGCGCAGTCTGATCAGGATCCATGCTGTTCGCTTATAAACCCTATTACAAGTACCAAAACTGATAGCGAACAGCATGCGCAGGCTGGTCTGGATCCATGCTGGTCGCAAACGCATTATGTTGGTTTTGTCATGACACGGCTCATATATGTTTTGTTGTTGCATAAACTCGAGTTACAATTATAAATGGTATGTTGTGAGAATACTTGACCATGATAAGATTAAAGTGTCATTATGTCCATTCAAGTGTAAATGGACATTGAAAATGTAGAAATAAAAATAACTTGACATTTTGCCGTAAGTGAGTTCAGTTTGATATTTTTATATAAAACAACATAAATTCACGTGATCAACGAATATTTCTATAATTATTGTTCAAAATATATTGATAACGCTCTAATAGAGAGAAATAATCCCCAAAGGACGCACAAAACGACAAAATTGAAAAGCCCCCTAGCACCGGCATAAGCATTATTAAACATTTCACATGAAATGGTAAAATTTGGAATTATGAAACATCCGCAGTTGGGTGTGACAGCTTTTTATAATTTAGGTAGTTTTTATATTGTATTATACAATTTTTTCATTATCAATTATTGATGCTCTCTAAAGCGACCACATTCATAAAGAAGCAAATTGACTGTATATTTTATTACCATATTAAAACATATGTTAGTATATTGAACATCAACATACCTGCCTGGTTTATGACAGTTTTTAAAAATAATGATACATGCCTTTCATCAATTTTTTCTTCAAAATTTAAATAATTCAAAAATAATGAGAATGCGTAGAGATAATTGACAAGAAAATATTGTTAACACAATAACAATATTAAAAACATTTTACCTACCTTGGCTCTATCATTAAGGTTAACGCCAAGATCTATCAGTCTTTCAACAATAACCAGTTTATTTTCTTTGACTGCTATCATCAATGGAGTTAATCCATTGTCCTGAAATGTAATGTACATGTTTTATAAATTAAGTTGTATTAATTATACCGCTGACACATTAACTAACTGTAACTCTGGTAGGGAATATTTATTCTATCATCTTGTCTCACGAATTGTTGTGAAACATTAGTAACAAATGCACCAGAAAAATATTTCAGGACTATGAGAAAGAGTCTACATTTCTCGATTTAGAGAGACATGCAATTTTAATCAAATAAGGCTTATAAGCAGATATTGACATAATAGCAATAATATTACAAGATATACCCAAAAACATATACTAACCATTCTAAAATGAAATAAAACATATAATAGTCATCTTCATAAGTACTCTCATTTATATTTTGTAACATCCGTCTATACATCCTTTATAATTAATGTCTCAAAATTCCTTGTTTTGACAATAAAATGACAAAATGTGATTTTTTTTGTGGCTATGAAAAACGCTTATTGGCTGCTTATTGATTAATTAATTTAAAGCTAATTTGCAATAGAAAATTTTCAAAAGATTTGTACATGATACAAGATAAATATTTCATTGTTGTCTAGCATTGCTTGGCTGCAAGTTAGTAGTAAAGACAGTGTTTATAATAATAAAAATATATTTCCTATCTCTTTACAATTCAAAACTATAACTGAATAAAACTGCACTCCAGAAAATGTATAACCTTAACATTCAATATTTATTGTAAGGCTCTTCCCTCCTTTAAACTTCATTACTTATCTTAAACCTACCTCTACTCCAATTCTTTTAGCGTATCTTTCAATATGTTTAAAAAACAAATCAAGATCTACATATCCAAACTGGACACTATAATTCGTGTTATCATTATGCATCACTTCTAGACAAGTATATCCCTTCTCGCAGTCATACTTGTAGCGTATCAAACTCTTGCTAATTGAAATTATTCCATCACTCATTCATCAAATGGAACGGAATTAATGTTTTAAAAAGATGAAATGTAGATACTTAATGCATGCATTATTAAAATAATTTGCGTTTAGTCATGTGTCAATACAGGCATCAATATGAAGTAAATGTATATGGGGAAAAAACGTTGTGTTTCAAATTCTTGGCCCATCAAAACTTATGTTTTAATGTTTATTTTGAACAAATGTTGATTTTTAAGCTAATATATCATAATTATTTGATAATATATGCTTAAAAGCTACACGAGTAATTGTATTTGATGTTTAAGCATGTATTAAATGCAATAAAATGACAACACCAAAAAGTATTACTAAAATATAAAATAACAACTCATTCTTAGCTCTTTTTGGATCTCTAACATATATGTTTTATTTCAAATTTCCTTTAGATTCATAAAGTATTTAATATTGACTTTCAAAAGTTACGAAAACGCAGTCGCCTCTACAGCCAGTAGTTCTATCTTGTTATTCTTCTCAGAAATATCCTTCAATTAAGAATGAATATTTATGTTTGTATAAATAAATGATTGAAGTTACAGATACAGATTCATTTCAATATTCTCATCATCACAAAATAGAATAAAATTGAAACGAAGGTAATAAAACTATTTTAGAATCGAGTTTTATGTTTTATTTAGAAGTTATAAAAGGAGGGAAATAGTGAGACCTACAAATTGAAACCACTTTGGGCATCTAATAGCGTGGGGATCCATCTTTTATTTTACTTTTTTATCTTTTACCAAATAAAAGAAATGGTTGAGATGAAAAAAAAACATTTCTCAGAAATTAAATAAATAGAAAAAAATCTTTATTTGATTTTTTATTACAATCAATGCATTTCCAAAGCTTTCGAATCTTACATTCCTGCCATCAATAGCATCAGAATTCCTATATTCTTTACTGCACTTAACGCTGACCGTTTAGAAAACAAAAGCGAATGACTATATATAGAATGAACGATTGATTTAATAAAATGATTTATGAAATTGAAATAAATAAGGTTATTTGTGTTACTAAAAGCAAACATTTTTAATCATTTAGCCTGGTAGGATTTAATTTAACTGATAGCTGCCTCATTTCTAAAATTGCATTGTTAATACATGAAGCTAAAGTGAAATCAATTATGAAATTGTTTGTTATGACACAAATGGGAATTGGCAAAATTTCATCAGTTTGAATTTTGATTTATATCTCTAAATAAAACTTCTGAGTGTCTAAAGTAACATGTTGTTATGTAAAGAAATGTCCATTAGTTTTATTTGAATTTAATTTGAATGAATCATTTGTTTATTTTAAAAACGTATGACTAACACTACTTGTTTCAACATAATTTTTAGGTCACTCTATAAAATGTTTTAACATCGATAAATAAATCATAATTATAATTATCATTAAGTGATTTTTTTTCTATAAATGATAAAATTTCACGATTGTATATGTTCAGTCAATATAAATGCGATACATACCTGTATATCAAAACTAGTTATAAGGCCTGAAACATCAGCTGATGTTTCTAAATTCATAAAAGAATACTTTTTATTGTTAAATGTTGAGTTCTGCTATAACCGGTGCTATGGGGCGTGGGAGATAGCTTGAACTTTGCAGTACTGTTACTGAACAGACCCAATCAAACCAAGCCTGCAACATTTTCAAATTTGCTGCTTTGGAAGTCTTTAGGGATTCTTTATCATTTTATTTATTTTTTTTTTTTGCAAAAATCATCTCCGGCATCTTAATTCCAAAATTAGTTTCATTTGTCCTTGGCATAACTCAAATAAAATTAAGATTTTTTAAACATTTCTATATTATTAAACAATCACAAAGTGTTTTCTGTTCTATTTGACGTCTTTTATAGTATACATTCAAAGGACATTTGCGTCTCAGCGAAATCAATTTCACTTTTCGTGGATTGCCACAAATTAATAGTTAAGAATATGACACAAATATATCTTACGGTAATTCATTGAGTGGTGTGTTGATAAATAAAATGAAAATACTTTTTTTTCAATTTAGTGGATAAACATATTTGAATAAGACTTTTTTTCACTGCAGATCTAAATGATTTGTAAATTGAACGATCACACCAGTTTTCATTTGGCACAAGAACTTAAATTACATAATAGTAGCATTTTTTTAATTAATCAATCAATTAACATAAGAAAGTAAGAATAGCAAGTTTGTAGAGTCTATAAGACATATGTTTAATTTATAGCAGTCGATTTAGGTCTCGAGGTCATTTAAAAATCAATTTAGATTAGAATAGTGTCTCGATATTTTAAATAGAAACATTGCACCGCTTTGTCAATATCATACACATTGGAAATTGAAAAGTTCATATTTATTTATTTATTTATTTATTTAGACATGCAAGTTTAATGATTTTACTTCAATACAAAAAAATGATATAACGTTTTACTCATTCCTTCTAATGACTTCTAACTTTATCGATACATCATGGTTGAAAAAAAGAGAAATATTGTTTAATCATTGTATTTATTTATTTATTTATTTAAGTCTCATTCATGTACATACACAAATAAAATTCATAAGCAAACATAAAACACAAAAAAGTACATGACCATTCAATCATTGAATTATAAGAGACTAGTAAAACATTTATAATAACACGATAAAATATCATACTAATCATAAAATTACATCCAATTATAAATAATAACTAACTACACAGTACAAAAACTATAAATTAATGGAAAGAAATATACATTTATATATTTATATGATTAAAAAAAAAAACAGTCGCTATTTTTTATTATTTCAAAGTAAGAAAAAAAAAAATAAAAATAAATAAAAAAACATACATCAAAACATAAAAAATATATATATAAAAAAAAATACAGTAGCATGTTCTATATAAAATATATTATTTACATAAGTAAGATTGACGACGTTGAAGAATATTAAAACAGGTTTTGGCACATTTTCTGACTAATGGTTGACTAGAGAACAAAAATGCAAGTTGGTTGTCTTTGCTAAAATTAATAAAAGAAGAATCGTGCAACACAGCCTTAGAGATTAATTCTGATCTAAAATCATCATATACTGGGCAGTCTAATATAACATGCTGTTCATCTTCAAGTACATTACAAAAAGGACAGTGGCGTTCATCTAATCTCAGATTCTCGTACCTACCCGTTTCGATACGAATAGGGGCTACCCACACCTAAATTTACAAAACGCTGACCTATGCCTAGGGGGTAAGATCATTTTACAGTACTCTTCTGACGTATGTTCCTGCTTAAAAGTTCTATAGGTTCTCAGCTTATTCAGACCCCTACCTGACGGGCCCACTGTACAATTAACCGAACGGATCCATTCAGCCTTAAATCCCTCCATAGTCAAAGATTCAACCTGGCGCACAAAGGAAGTTTTAGCAATGGGTGAAGACAAGTCGCAAAACATACCAAGATTTAATTCATTCCATTGCTTTTGGACACGATAAAACCAATTTTTACATTGAGGAGCACCTTTTGTCAACGACCAAAGTTCAATCCGTTTATTTAGTCTACAAGTATTTGTTTGGGAAAGGCGCACCCAAAAAATGGCCACTGATTTCCATTGCCGGACCAAAGGGGGGACCCAACCCATATCTCCTGAAACTGCTGCATTGGGCGTATATTTTCCCACCCCAAGGAAGAATCTCATAGCTCGATTATGGACAGCATTTATGCAAGAATATGACTTATGACCCCATAATTAAGGAAGCCCCATACGCAATAACAGGCCATACAACAGAGTCATACAATTTAGTAAAAACGCTATGAGGAACCCCTCCAACTAACTTACACTTGGCTATCAGTAAACCTAACGCACGGCTAGCGCTTTGTGCCACCATCCTAGCTGTAACATTGAAATCGACATGCTCATGCAAAACGATTCCCAAATATTTGTATTTATCAGCATAACTTAACGTATCATGACCACATTTAAAGACAAAATCTGATCTAGTACAGGATTCTGGGCGGAAATGAACAATGTTACTCTTGCTTGTATTTATTGACATGTCGTTTATACTACACCAATCGTGTAGACCATTTAATAAACATTGTAAG